TCTCTTCCTTCAAAGGATTACTTCTCATTGCAGGATACATTTTGTTCAGGAATCAAGAGACATCCAGCAAACATCAATGCATGTGCTATGGTATCATCCCGAGAGGCCCAGAGAGTCGTACAACAATAGCTTTGTGCTACTAACATATCAGAATCCCAGAAGAAACTGTTTGGCAAGTCTTCAAATGTTACCAAATTGTCAAGTGGTTGACAGTCTTCTACTATAAACAAAGCAACTCAGTTTTTGTTTGTTCACTCTTTCTAAAGGCTGCAGTAGACATGGTTACTGCGTTTGGTCACATGAACAAAACAAACCTCTTCTGCAGTCTTCTACACTTTTTGTCAAAGTTCCTAGATATTTGAGTATAATGTCAAGTGTTTTGAACTTACCCACCTAGTGAGTGCTAATCAGCAAGACCTTTGTTTTGGAGTGATGACGGAGGAAGCTACCAAGATGTAGACTGATTTAACGTATTATCCTTGAAAAGTACTTCTGCCCATTGCTTGCCAAAATCTCAAGAAACTACTTTAAATCAAAGTCTTAATAGACAAAGAGTTTCAGAAACATGGCTGATACTTAGGTCTTCTCTAGAGTGCCCTACAAAGAGAAAGCCTCTTCAGTCTCTAAAAACATTATGTCTGCAAACTCAAGGTTCCCAGCCTGTGTTTTGCATTTTCCTTTTCTAAAGGCTTGAAAGTGAAAAAGCTTTTAAGTTGGGAGGCATAAACAGATGTTTTCTCTTGGGACCTCTTGAGTCCTTACATTTTGCATAGCTGAGGGCTATAAAGACAAGGAAGTTGACTGAAGATCAAGAAATTTCTAAACAGGAGACAAACAGAACACTAGTCATTCAGAGTGAATGCTTGTAGAAAGTCATCTTATTTTTAATCTAAGACTGGAGCTCTGTGAATCTAAGGAAAAAAAAGTGGGTCCTGAAGGTTTGTCCTGAAGATGTGCACAGTGCACAGATGTTTGTGGCAGCATCTGTGTCTACAGTGACCAGAAAGACTGACCAAAGCAGTTGCAAGAGGCAAGATGATCTCTGAAAAGATGAACTGTGACAGAGGAAGTGGAATTAGGACTTGGATTTAAGAGAGTAACCTTGACAAGTGTTTCCATTGTTAGAACCTGAAGAAATTGCAGCTGCTAGAAACACACTAGCAGGGTTAGCACACTCCAGTGTGTTTAGGTTCAAATTGCTTCCTGATCTGACCAAATACACATCACAGAATCACAGAATCACTAAGGTTGGAAAGGACCTTCAAGATCATCAAGTCCAACCATTAATCCAGCGCCACCGTGTCCCCTAAACCATGTCCTGAAGTGCCACATCCACACGTTTTTTGAACACTTCCAGAGATGGCGTCTCCACCACCTCCCTGGGCAGCCTGTTCCAATGCCTGACCACCCTCTCGGTGAAGAATTTTTTCCTAATAATAATAACATGGATCTATAAACTTGAAATATACATTAGAAATACGTAGAAACATTTACAAACAGATTACTCCACAGAAAGCTGACTGAACAGTACTAACAAATATTACCCAGTTACTATGAAAAGTAGCTGTAGAAAGAAACTTTCACATTTTACACTGTTTGTATCTCACTTGAGTTTCAGCAGGGACAACTGCTAAGTACTCCGGAGAGTCTGTGGGAGAAATATATAATCTAAAGCTATGCAGTAAGGGCAAGAAAGCTTCAACAGTCTTCACAATGCTCTCTTCGAAAGAGAGCTGAATGTTCTGATTTAGGTAGGTGGTTGAGCATGAACAAGAACAGAAGTTGCTCTCTTTCATGGCCACCTGCAGCACACATGGCAGGGCCTGTACACATTCCTGCAGGTATTGCAGAGAATAAAAATTTCTTAGCTAACAGGAGTTGTGTTTAGATATATCTGTACCATAAAATATACTGATAGAGCTTTCAAAGGAGTACTGTCCTTTTCTGCAAGTCTAGTGTGATTAGGTTCAGTAAGATTTATTACTATTATTTTGTATAAAACACAAATAAAACTTCTGCATTTCCCAACATGTGTCTGCACACCCTCCTACTTCAGAGAGTGAGTTTCTCTGTTGGTAATTTTTTGTAGGCAACTATTATATAGCATCAAATACTACAATTACAACCACATCCTGGAATATGATCATACTTAAGTCTGTGCTTCTGAAAGGAATGTGTGTACTTATGAAAGGACATCATTAAATTCCACCTGAAATTACTGCAACAATTGGAAAAGAACACCTCCAGTATTAGTAAATCCAATTACTGCACATTTGAAAAAATCTCCACCATTTCATAAACAACGACCTTCTCCGCAAAACACTTTTCAAAGACTTCTGTAGGAATCCTGAAGTATAATATGGAACTTTCCCTGCAAAGGTGGAAGTATAAAGAACTGCTAAAACATGAATACCAAAAGCCTTTTAAGTAACAAATACTGGACAGATTTACTAAAATTCTAGCTTACATCAGTAACAAAACTGAACATGGAACATCTGACAGAAAATACTTCTTTCTCCTTTCTTAAGCAAGATTGAGAACTCACAATCCAAAGGAGAAAGGCCAACAAGCATGCAGGTGGCAATCATACTGGAGAGTTGTCGGCTGTAGCATGCAAGAAAAACAGCACTCTCCTTTATTTAATACTGTACCCATATGTATTGGGAATTGGTTTAAGAGGAGCTATGGGTTGGTATTTTATCATTCAGAGCGGCTGTAAAACGAATCAGTCAACACTTAAAGCTCACACAATATCTAACAATGGGGCCATAAATTCCAGTGCCTACCACAAATTCCAATTTGGAACAATTACAGGCTATCTACCTACATTCTCCTGACATTTTCAAATATGTACACTTTTTGAACTGTTCTGCAACATTGCTTTGTACTTTTAGGCTATCTGCCACATTTAAAACTGTCACGGAGGCTGTAATTAATGGAATGGAAATGTTTTGGCATAATTTATTTTAGGCATCAGTTTGGATGATAAATACTTAAGGGTCTGTTGCATCAAATGTTAGCAGTTTAAAGATGTGGCTTCAAAATGGTTTGATGGGCTGTTACAAAACTTCTAAATTAAAAAAAAAAAATTACCAGAGCAAAATAGTTTTATGCAAAGTAAAACTCAATATGCTAATTCAGGTATAGTGGTCTGAAGGTCAGTATTAGGATATGTTTAATTTTACAGAATTCATAAGAATTTTATATGATAAATACTAATTTATTTTCAGAAAGAATGTCCTGATAGCTTCTCTAAGAAATTCTTAAACTTTTGTATTAGCATTTTCATCTCCATTCCCCTCAGAGACACTTATTTTAATTTCCTTCTAGGCAGAAGGTAACACATTTGTAGGTGATCACTAAAAAAATTGCTTATGGCTTTTTCACTGATGATTCCCTGGTCTCCTAGAGGAACCTAGAGGTTCAAAATAAACATGGCCAACAGACATTCTTTTATACACTTAGAAATACTTAAATTTTCATTTGTAACCTTCTTAGTTATGTACTTTCATTTCATATCATTCAATCACCCAAAAGATAGTATCAATTTTAATTGAAAAGCCTCAAATTAATACAGTATTATATCATAGCTTGGTTATGTTTCCAAGTAATACAAAAGCCTTGAAGTTCTTTTAATTATTCTATAAATAGGAACAGGAAAACTGACTTTCCTCCTTCAAGTGCTGGGGACCGAAGCTGGTATTAGTAAATAGTGGTATGATCTCCAAATGCAAGCAGCTTCTAATTTTTTATAGCAATATAATATATGTTTTTACATGGATCAATGTTCCGCATCCTTCTTTCAACTGAAAAGCAGCTTTTGCAATCACAGTGTAACGCCACAATAATATACATAGAATAACTTACAGCAATTCTGTTTGATACTGAATTACTGAGGGATCTACCTTGCATGAAGCACTGTACAAAACACAGGCTTATTGCCCAGGTCTGTACAGCATTACTGTCAAAATAGTTTCAGACTGATTTATTCTAAACTTCCCAAAACAATTAAAATCTAACCCAAATCACTCTCCAGATTAGCATGCTATCCCACATCAGAGAGCAACACAAACAATACCAGGCTTTTTATCTATTAAATCTCAGTCAACTAAAATGCTTAAGCATACATTTACAAGTTTCATACTATCCTTTTTGAACCTGTTGTCAAAGACTCTACACTCTTAAGAGGATACAACAGCTAAACTTTAATGCATGCTTATGTTTGATTTTCTTTTCCTCATTTTTTTGAATATCAGACTTATTTTAGTCACTGAAAAACAGTGCAGCTATAAAGAATATGTGGATTTGATCCGGCAACTTGGAAAGAAAGACAGATCAGATAATCTGTCATTAAAAATACTACATAAATCAGACATGCTTTATGGTGTACTCAAGTATTATGTCACTCCAGTTAAAGGACTACTTATGCTTTCTTTTAAACAGCATGGATGGATTTTTAACAATAAAGAGCTCTATAATTGCAAGGGCAGACCTCATAAAGACTCAAAATTCAGTTTCCAAGGTATTTTAATTAAATCCCAAGTCCAAAAAGTCTCCACAACAAAGCAGACAGGAAGAATATTAGCTGTAAATATGAAACTCTATGACACTAATCCCAGAGATGAACCTGTGCTGCTTTAATGGCCGAAGAACAGGCCTTTTTTTCAGCCTCTTAAAAAAATGGAACAGCTACGAAGTAAATCTCCCTAAAAGTTCATACTGTTTACAATCTCTGCCTCCGGTTTCAGGATCATCTCTGACAAATATTAGTATTTTCTCTTAATTACCTATACATATAGAAAATTGTAAGTTCACACAAAAGGAGCAAGAACCAATAATCAAGAATACATGTAAGCAGTCCGTACAGTTGTGGGGGATTGGGTTGGAACACCATCAAAATGACCCTCTCTGAAGTATCAACAAATGTTTTTTCCAGCATGTTTTAAAATGAAATACAAATCTCCTCAAGTCTCCCTCAAATTTGACTTATGTCTCAGACAATACCCAAATAATTTACGCATAGAAAAAAGTTCTTCCCATTGTGGATCTGTCAGCCTTCTCGCATGCTCTCATTTCAGGAGGAAAGTGCTAATCTTAGTTACCATTTTAAAGATATTATATTTACTAAAGAATTGTTTGAAATAATAAAATCAGAGTAAAAATTTTACCAGAACATTCTTACGTTCAAGGTTTTTATGGATTCAGCATTTCCCCATTCCGATAATCTAAATATTGCAAGATGAATTCTAACTCTTGAGCAGCGTTCACAGTACTTTGCTTACATCAAGCCACTGCATTCATATGTTTCTAGCTCCACTGTTTGTAAAATGAAAACAGAGATTCCTACTGTACCATTAATTGCTAATCTGACACTGAAACAGTGATTTCATTCTCATGGGTGATGGGATTGAGAACTTCTGTATAACTCCATCCCCTAACAGGTACAGTAATAAACTGTTAGTTCTTTAGGCATAAGACATGAATCTGTTGGACAAAGGCTTCATTCTCTGCCTGTAATCAGTAACTTGAGGGCCTTCTGTAGATTCTGCACGGCAGTGCTCACATCTTCATATTGCAAAGCACTGCCAGCATATTTGCAATATTTTTGAGCTCTGGCAAAGTCCTCTGGAGTCAAACGGACTTCCCCTGCAAAAAACATAAGTATTACAAAGTTACTATAAAAGAAATCTGACTCAGGCTTCCTTTCATATGATTTCTGTGTTTTACTTATATTTGTGGTAATATTGTAAAACCCAGGCTAATATTTGTGGTAGTATTACAAAGACCAAGTTACTGTGTTTATTCTGTTAATTTTTCTTTGCATTCATATAATGCTTAACTTCTTCGCTCCTGGTATCTGAAAAATAGAAGAGGACCTTTCTAAACACTGGTGTTTGTATGAGCCAGTGCCTTTCAAAAGTAAGTCAATACCTTTGAGAAAGATCTGCTCTTCATCTAAGGCAGCAAAGGAGAGCTTTTTAACGACAATAAGTTAGCTGTAATCATATTACAACCTGCAAGAAACAAGGACAGTGTTTTTTGTATTGGCAGTATAATTACTTTGCTCTCTTCTTCCAGAATAATACTTAGCTAGAAACTGTTTCTCCCCAACTGGAATAACTTTTCAAAATGTAGAATCGTTTTTCACTGCCATGTTTCCGCATGTTATATTTCTGTTTTATCCAAGTGATGTTTATGTTTCCAATTTTATGTAAGATGACTGAAAACAAGATTGATCCCATTAAATGTTTACATTTTTGTAATACCAGAGAACACAAGCAAAAAATATTCTCATAATATAGTATAAAACAATTAACTGTTATTTATTAATCAGAATATTTTCTTGACGTAAGTTAAAACACCTGGAATTCTGTAATGCTCACACACATGCATTCAGTCTTCTAGGAAGCATAGTGAGGACTTATGCCCTAACTGGCAGAAGATTTAATATGTGACCAGCATCACTGATGCGTGCATAAAATAAAGCACAGTTACATTACTGTCCCTCCTTCAACCCACAAATTCACTGGGAGTTTTAAAGGCTAATCCCATTATAAAACCTCTACTCATGTTCTTTCAGAACAACTTAACTTGTAAAAGACTGATTTTTATGGACATGGATAAATAATTAAATGCAATACTAAAGAATTATATATTTATTTCAGAGGTTTCCCACATTGCATCTTATAGACAATGAACAGATTTCACGGATTAAGAAAAAATGTATTTTAAAGTGCACCATAGATTTTTATATAAAATTGGTTAAACAAAGATTTAGCTGTCTAAGTAAAGCTTTCTAATTTTAAGCAAGGACATGGATATACTTAAATCCATTTATTATGGTACAATTTCAGTTAGCTGCATCCCTCTCTTTCAAAATAAAACTGTTGTTAGCAATACTGTGAGAACATTTACTAAAGAATCTCAGTTCTTATCAGAAAATGTCTATTATATTTGCTTTTCCTTTCCCCAATCTTATTATTTAAGAACAGCTTTTGAACAAATAAAATGGAAAACCTGGGAATATTAAAATCTCAACTGGTCTACTGGCTTTCAAAACAACCCTACTCCAATAAAAAGCAGAAGGGTAAGTGCTCTTAAGATTAGTTTTATCAAATTTTAAAATATACTCTAGAAGTCTACTTACTTTGCCTCAATAAATAAATAAAACCAAAAAATAACTTAACTATTGAGGCACACTGACAACTTTGTGGGCTCATTATCATTGCGATGTGTATCAGTTTACTGCTGAATAAGTGAAGTTACATTAAATCTCTGAAAATACATACACATGTGAGTAAATATGCGTGAGGGAGTGCATAAACACAGGCACAGACTTAGGTTATTTTGTAACCTAAATAAAGTCACAGGCTAAAAGCAGCTGGGGTCAATCTACGACCACATTACTGAACATCTTTAAGAAATTAAGAAGACCAAGTTCCCCTCAAAGTGGCTTTATGCTATGATGCCAAAAGAAACTACAAAATCATTCTTTAAAAACTGGCCAAGGCATCAGTCCAGTATTCAACTAATTTATTGGAAGGAAGCCTAAATTCACCAGTCTAATCTTATTTTTACAGTATGAGCTCTATTAATGTTTTGCTGGCATAACGCCTTATTTATTATGAAATCTACTTCAGATGCTATTATGACATAACTTGAGGGAAAAAAGTTAACAATTTTAAATTTATAAACCAAAGTTTACACAGTAAGGGTGTTGATCTTTTGATGTGCTTGGTGGCCTCAGCTCCTATTGAAGTCAGCACCTCACAATGGACAAGCAGAATAGAAATAAAATAGCTCTGTGTTGCTACGTTTTCAAAATAATGTGAAACTTAACTATAACATCTGCACTTACATCAAAGGTATCGCCACAAAAGTTACTGACTTCAATTTACATTCTAAGGGTTAAGCAGCTTTGGAAAAAGGGACCTGGGGGTCATGGAGGACACCAATTTGTCCCTGAGCCAACAACCTGCCCTTACAGCAAAGAGGGCTAAAGGCATCCTGGGCTGCATTAGGACTGTTGCCAGCAGGTGGAGGGAGGTGATCCTTCCCGTTTATTCAGTGCTAGTAAGGCCACGCCTGGAGTATTGTGTCCAATTCTGGGTTCCTCAGTACAAGACCAAGCACTGGCACAGGGTGCCCAGAGAGATTGTGGAGTCTCCATCCTTGGAGAGATTAAAAAGCTGTCTTTCAAATTAACAGTGACATTTTTTCTCAAACTTCCTCCTTCAGTGCTGCAAATTAAACCATGGGGAGAGTGCAGGGGCAGGGGGAAGACATAAAGGACATAGTCCCAAGCAGCAAATTTTACAAGACCCTTGCTTGGGCAGAGGGGTTGGACCAGAGGACCTCCAGAGGTCCCTTCCAACCTCAACCACCCTGTGATTCTGAGCTCTAAAAAAGCCCAACAACATTGAGATGGGAAAAGTATTCTGTATTTATCCTGGAACAAACCTGCTCCCGTGTTAATCTGAAATAATTAGCACAGTAGTTTTATTTGTTACTGAAATGTGACAGACATATGGAACCCATAACTAATGTCAACATGCATGATTCTTTTAGTTTAAGAGGAACACAAAGTGAAAACCAAAGGCAATTTAACTAGAGATGCTGAAAATCGTGTTGGGGAAAAAAGCAGTTCTAGAATGAAAAGACTGTGTATTTTACATGGTGTACCTGCTTCTCCCTGGTATCCTTTTCTATCCATCGGATGTTTTTCCTTTTCATGAAGTTGACCAAATAGAAGGCAACTGATTTAAGAACGTTTTAATAATGCAATTTGGTGTATAAAAACAGTGATGGCAAAGGTAACTAAAATTATTTTTGAAACAAGATGCTCTTTTTTCCCATTAAAGCACTTAAGAAATTGGAAATACAAATTCTCAAAGATTTCTTCTTAAGATCATGAAAATATGTAAAATATCAAATTATTATTTCTGCTTTGCTTGTAGAAAATCAAACACTATTACATACACAGCTAGAATGACAAATGGTTTCTCTATACTATGCTACCTGTGGAAGGGAGAAAATGGCAATGTAAGAAAACTTTATAAAAACTCTGTGTAGCACAACCATGAATGCATTTAGTGTTAGCAAAATCTAAGGGTAATAAATTTTTTAAGCAAACTACACCAGAGAAGTGCAGGAACACATTACAAAAAGTTGCTGTGTAGCTCTACATTCTGTTGTCAGAGACATTAAGCAATGCTTAATTGCATAAGCTTTGACACTTTCAAAAGTCAGCGTTAAACTCTGAAACCTGTTCTCACAGGATAGGACAATTATTGAAGGATTCACACCGACTAAAATCAAAGGAATACTGTTACTTTAACTTAATTTTCTTTTCATAAAATATTCCAGTCTTCTCCACCAAAAGTTTCTCTCCCATTATAGCATTAATCAAATTGCTTCTCCTATGTTATGGGAAGGAAAGAAAATATATAATTTATTTTAAAAATATACATTTGATCTCACTACTAGAAAGAGTCTTGCAGGAATATGTGGAATATCCTGTTTGGCTATGACTATACTAGTACATTCAAGAGTGCCAGGGAACGCGTCTCAGCACTCAAACTTGACTGTCTACACTGTCAAACTGCTGGAACAGACTCCAATATGGTTTTGGCCCATGCAAACTAGCACTTTCCCAAACAATTCCTGGGCACAACTTGTGGTTAGAGCAGGCTAAAGATCATTCAATATTGGCAGCCTTCACAAATTACCTTGTTTAGAAGGTTTAAAAGTTTAATAGTATGGATGTGAGTGGTTCTGTGCCAGCTGTTCTCAGTGTGAAATATTTACAGGTATGTTTAATTTATTAGTATAGACACAGACATCATGTCTAAATAGTGGAGCAAGTGTACTTTGCACTGTGCTTGCTCTGTGGATCTGCTGGAGGGCAACACTGATCCCTCCTTCTCATCCAAAGGAAACTTCAGTTCCATAGGAATGGTGCATACCAAAGTCTAACCTCAATACACAGCCAGGATCTAGCCCAAATATATATATAGTGCAACTCAGGAACTGGGGAGGCCTCCTAGTTCCCACAGTTTAGTAAGTCTATTACGAGATACAGGCATTATTAAATCTACTTACAGGTCAGGGAACAAGGCTACTGTGGAACCGAGTACTGTTGGCATAAAAAGGACTGCCCAGCAGCATGAGGGGAAGAGTATCTGCTGTTACTCTTACATGTATAGCTCAAGGAAGGACGCTTTGGGTAATACCAGGAACACATGACAGGATGGCAACAGGAAAGGACAAAAACTTTCCATTGCTCTCAAGCTTCTTAATTCTATGCATGCAAACAAAACTGTTACTCTATCTCTCCTGACTGATCTGTCCCTTAATGCCCTCTCAAACGTCTGCATAACTGATAGTGTATTTTCTAAGCTTTCAGAACCGAGGATCTGTATGAGCTGTATCACCTCTTAGGGTGCACTTCAGCAAAACTTCCTCATAATAAGCTGTTACAAGACCCAAACTTGTAGTGACACAACAAATGTGCAAAGGAGGAATGCAGGCATGCAAATACTCAGGTTAGATCAAGTTAGAGATTCCTCACTGTGCTTAGCAAGGGTCTTAATCTATTACAGGATAGTAGTTGCTATGAATTCTCAGAAACACAGGGTATCTTAGTTCACTCAATTCCTTTTTATTTGTATTTATGTACTTATCAAATCAGGTTATCACAGGTAAGTGGCTAGAGGGAACAATGCACTGATACTATCCAGGTACTGAATAATGGAACTTCTAATACTTAATGAAGAATTAAAGTTTAAACCAAAATTATGACAACAAGAAATAAACATTCAAACCAAGAAACAATGATGGCTAAAATTTTTAGAGGAGTTATCTAAAAGCCTATTAGAATGACTGTCTAAAGTATCATGATAAGCTGGTTAAATATGAAAGCTTTGCTGCCAAACAACACAAAATTTCCTTCCCAGCTAGCAGTTACTACAGTAAAATTAAGTAAAGCCTTCAGCTGCTTTGGTTAGGGAACTACCGAAACCCTCACAACAGCCCCCAAAACTCAAAAACTATCACCAAGTCTTAATGGTTCAGTTACAGGTCTGAGTTACTGTTTTAAATGAGTTAGCTGTTACATGAGACATTACAGTAATACGCCAGACAAACAATAGGATGTGCCTTTTGTTCTTCAAGAGAACACAAAAGGTTAGTTGTCTCTATCAAAGGTAAATTGTTATTTTTATCTTTTTAAGACATCTTCTACAAAAATGGCTTCCTAATATATTAAGATGGACACATCCTTAAACATTCTTATGACAGCAGACTAAAATCAAGCCAAATATAAGCATTCCATTGAATCAAAAATGCTTTTTCAGTAAAGCTGGTATTTTAACATAGACACCCTCTTCAACAACATAACAAACTAGAATATCTAACTAAATATTTTTAAGTTATGATATACAAGAACATACCTATCCAAACAGGCAACATTTGACTGTATGTAGTACTGGAACTTAAAACATCAATTACATATACTATCAGCTTTCCCTAGTGAGGATAAACAGCAGGATAGAATGTGAACATATTTCATAGCAGGACTTACAGACCTCCTCCTCACTCAACATCCACGTTATATTGCCAACAAAAATCTGATTATTACAAACAGATGTAACGTATCTTTTTATTATTTCTATTCTGTGGACAGAAAAATTCCTAGAAAACAATTAATAATTTGTCCAAATGTACATCAGTGTTCAAATTGGAATCTAGGATGATTCCAGCTTTATTGTCGGTCCCTACTCTTTCACAGGCCATGGTTTCCCTAAGGTTAGCATTTATGTGTGCACTTCAAAGCATGATATATGCAAGCAGACATAAAATACGTGTAATATAGGTTATCAGTGATTTTAACATCAAAGATAGACGGTGTTTTAAAAGATAAAAGCCTTGATTAAACAGTACATCAAAACGACATCATTAGCAGTTCCTTATAAATTATTTCATTTAGTACAGGTACTACTTATAATCAAGAACCACACATAACAATTATGCTGCAACAGAAGACACCACTGGAATGTCCTGATTATTTAAGTGAATAAATAATGTACGTACTGATCCTGTAGAAGAAATTTTAAGTAAAGGGAATATGTATTAATTACCAAAAATACAATTTAGCAAGGCTATCAGGAATATAGGTTTTGCTAAGTATATAAGAACTTCATCCGAGAAGTAACAACATAAATAATTATGTTGTTACATAAATAATAAAAAGCCTAACACAATGCTAGCTCATGGGTTCGAAAAAGTGTGATAGACAACACTAACCATGCACTGTAGCAAAGCTTTCAGAAACTATTAAACACTCAGTAACACAATGTCTAGATAAAATTTCTGAATTAGTAGCATTCAGATAATGACAACATTATTTCTCAAACTTCTTCCTTCAGTGCAAGGGAGACGTATAGACAATATAAATGCCTTACCTGCAGACTGAGCACTGTAAAGGGAAGGATCGACTAGAGGAATATTCTGAGGAGCAGGCTGAATGGTGTTACTTGTCACTCCTGCAAATCAATGTATAAAATTGGACTTGGGTTATTTTTATTTATAGACTTTAAAACTAAGCAGACAAAATAAGCAAATAAAACAGGTAAACCTAATGACTCAATGATTTTTAAATTAAGCAGCTGATAGCTTCCCAATTCTGAAAGTTTGTAACAAATAATTTTAAGACACTCACTTCAGACCATGAATGTTTTCTAAAATAATACAGAAGAATTTACAGGCTGTCATTCATGTAATCAGTACCTCTGTGATCAGTACCTCATGTAATCTGTGTATTACACAGAAATTTAATTTCAAACATTACAAAAAATAAAAAATACTAGTCCAAAAGACACTGGTTACCCTAGAGTATTGAGGAAAACCTGCTAAAGAAGAGTAGGAGTAAACTTTAGTATTTGAAACCTAATTTCTGCCTTTTAATATCAGAGAGAGTCACCATTATTGTATTTTTAAAGCCTTATGCCTGCCATCTCACACCTGAAAACTATCTCCTTCCTAATTCCTTTGAAAACAATTGCTGAGAATAAAAAAGGCTAGCTAGATTTAGAAGGGAAATCGTGATGCTAGAAGAAGAAACAGCACTTTATGCTGTGAAGCATTCTTGTATCTGCGTTCATATTTTAGACACTCACATTTGCATTGATCCAAAACTGTATTTTTGCAGTATGTCCAGAACACACCAGACTAACATAAAGTTATTTCTACAACATCTTCTACGTAGGAAGATGGTATAATCACTTTTCTAAATTATCTTTTATTTCATGGAGTGACTGATGGGGTTAAAACTATGTAATGCAAAGAATTCACGTATTTGAATACATTAATCATAATGAAAATATAATGAAAATTCATCATTTTCAAATCTGGTAAAATCAAAGAGCTAAACATTTACCCAGGCTGAATGTAAAAACAACAGTCTCTCCCTCCCAGACCCAAAAAACCCCACCTATCTGAAGGATTTCCCTTTGATAAAGCTAAAAAAAAGAGCATCCTGAACTTTTCATAGGGTCGAAGCATTTTAAAAATGAGAAAGTGAAAGAAAAGGAGGAGTTGTGACAAAAATATCTCATATGTTTTGTAATACAAAAATGTATCTGAACAATCAAATTATCATCAGAATTGAAATAAAGAGGTTTTAGTTTTTTAGTCTTATTAAACATCATTATAAAAAGGTAACATGAGGTGAAAAAGTTGTATTCACAAATCATTTAATACAACTTTTTTTTTTTGTTTTTTAAATACAGCAACTGAGAAGACCTTTGTATTTTTACGAACTTGGTTTTGGTCCAAAAATGACACAGAATAAGGATGTAGGAGCCAGTATGTTTTGCAAAAGGGACAAAATTTCCATCAATAATATTGTTTGAGGTCAATCACACTAAAGTACTTGCACAGGAAAAGGAGCATAAACCAAATAGAAGAAAAGTATGAATGGTGCATCACGCGCGACTGTTATAGTGTTGTTGTAACAGTTTCGATACTATGTTGGATATGTTCCCACATAAAGAACAGCAGTCTATCAGCACAAGGTAAGCTAAATATGAGATGAAGTAATATAATTTCACCTATCAAGTGAAAGATTCAAGAAGAAAAAAACATTCTGTCTGCAGAAACACTCATGCCTTCAGTCCATATATCTCTTCTGGCAAAATGCTCCAAAATATGAATTATGTATTCTAAAAACCATAAAAACACAAAAAAATATTTCCAATGGTATTTTTACAATGTTAATTTATGAAGTTGCTTCTGCCATAGACTACATAATTATTTTACTTTATATTTAATGGAAAGAGGGCTAGAATTCACCTCTCAATAAAGGCATGAATTTTTTGGGTGTGATTCCAACATACCTGTGTTATGAGGTAATTCAGCTGGAGTGTTGGCTGGTGCATGGGCACCTGGTGGTATATGTATGCCAGTGTAATTACTAGTTGGTATGTTGTTAGCTTCATACGTAGATGATGATGTTGGTTGAGTTGTTCCACTATGGAGAGAAGATGACCCTGCTTCTTCCCTTTCAACATCTGCTAAGATGACACAAAATAGGAATCATTGCAACTCTTCTGTACAAACACTTGAAAACTTAGGCTTTGTTTTAAAACCTCCTTTCAAACTTTTGTTAGTAGAAAAATTGCCACCACAGTGTGACATAAAACATTTATTAACCCAAACTACCTACAGCTGATTTGACAAAGTAAAAAAGCAACAATAACAAAGGATAAAAACCTAGAAAACATACGTATTTTCAAATATCTCTTCTGTTTAAATTGAATGATCACCTCATTACTGGTCTGAATATTAGCGATTTGTTTCATTAGTACAATCCCTTCTACTTCCAGGAGTTGAACAAGGTACTACAAATACGCAGTAACCTGTATTTTAATATAGACATGAACCAAAATATGGAAAACTGTATTTGCCTTACAAACTCTCTGTAAAAAGACAGACAGTGCCAATCCTTCCACCCCACGTCAATTAAACAAACCAACAAATAACAAAAAAGAGGAACTTTTGGAAAGTAACACCAAACAAGAAAACGCAATGCAACTTAGTCGAGCCGTAACTGTATCTAGAACAGTTAGAGTACACAATCTGCAGTAAGAATAATGAGGTTCAATATATCCCATAGCATGTAAAAAGAATATCTATATTATTTTTCAATCTAGTCATGTTCTTAAGGTTCTGGTCTAGTTTGTTCAATGTTGCTTAGAAGGCTTATGGACCAATTTTATTATTCTAATGACCCAGTTAATTTAGAATATGGTTGATTTCTGACCCTTAATTTGAATTCAGTTCAATTTAAAAAAGCTAATTTTCTTTTACTCTGGGTGCTCATCTGTATCAATAACGTCAGGTGGAACGAGCACAGTTTGGGGAATGGCTTTGTTAACAGCCAGTTCTTGAAACGGAGCAAAACGAATATGGGAGCACAAAACTTGTATGTGTCTAGAGATGGCAAGAGAGATGTTTTTTCTTTATGAAATCCACACTGATCTTCAACTATACAAGCTGTGTTATGCAAACATCTCTACTTCTTAGTAATTAAACAGTCTACTATTACAAATATCAGAATTTTTTCCCACATAAGGTCCATTTCCTCCCAGAAGCAGTTCAGGTACTACCTTTACTTCCAATTCACAATAATATTTACTACAATAAAAGGCTATAATGTGGAGTAAAATCAATAGTATTGTCATTAGAGTATTTTTACTGGACTTAAATAAATATACAGTTAAAGAATATATTTTTGTTTTCTATTGCAAAGTTGTAGTAGTTTACTTTCATTCAGAACATCCAAGTACTAATAAATTCACAAATCCCCCAAATCCACAGTTTAACACCAAGAATCTTTATTTAGAAGTATTAAAAGGCAAAGAAACCTAGAAGCAGAGTTCTGTCAGATCTGTCAAGCACTGCTAGCAGCATTTAACATAAAAACACAGAACATGGTAAGATTTTTGTATGTTACTCTTTTATTTTCACTTGCTGCAACCAGTATTTCAGGCTGTGGTTTTAAGAAGCTATTTCTGACATATGCAAATAAACATCTGGCAGATTTCTGGAAGGCAAAGGATATCTCAAAGTGCCAGATTTTCCCTTTGCTGTATTTTTTGCTAGTAACTCATACTGCACTATCATGTGGCTAACACGCATAGAAGGAAAATTATATGTGTTAAAACTGGCAAACAAAAGGTGAGATTCAAAAGTAAACACCGAATATACTTCCTTTTCAATAATAACATAGTGATAGGAATAAGCCATTGGTTGAATGCTATAGTTTTCAGCTTTTTGGTTTTTTTTAAGCCAGTTTCAGAAAATAGTATTTAGTTTAACAAAATCCCAGAGACTTACTCTAGGTGAGATTAATGAAATAGTTACACACAACACTCATCGTGCTGTCTGAAGGTAAGGCTGCCCAAGTTTACTTGTATCACTGTTACCAATTATTTATAGCTTGATCAAATTGTAGCCATTGAGTTGGATTTTCCATGTCAGGTATCTGCACAAAGCTAGTATTTTGGGAAAGCTGTTGTAAAAATCACGAAGCCACTTTTGAGAATGAGGGAGTGGGAGAAAACATGCTTTCGTTGTACTTAGTACTTCAATCAAGAGACATTACCTCTAAGTTCTTGCCCGGACTTAAAGCATTAATGCATTTTTTCCTTTTTTTCTGCCCCCTGCAGCTTCCTGTTGCCCTTATCTGGCTCTTCAGCCCCATTCTGATTTCTCTCTCTCCGCACCAGGACTTCATATCCCAGATCTGCCACCCCGTGCCCCATACTCGTGTCTGTCTGTCTTCTCTCCAAGACATTCCCAGTTTCAGCTTCAAACTTCCTCACTGTGTATTTCATGGTCTCTAGTCACTGCCGTAAAAGTGCAATGCTGTAGGCAACACTGGCCACGGAAGAGATGAACTCAAATAGTTAAAGTCTGGCAATGTTACCAACAAAAAAAGCAAGGAAAAAAAAGTCTTAGAAGTGCTAACCACCCTTAGTAACAGTGCCTGTAAGAGGCAAATTCACAAAAGGGTGATGTACTTTTTAATCGGGCATATGTATCAAGAGAACAAGTTCAACTGTTTGATTTCCTCATTATGCAATTGGCAAATGTTAAACTGTATTAAACATAAAAGTAGCTTTGTTTAAATTAACTCTTCTTAGGTGTTTAAACTGCCCAAATGTCATCAAAGCACTGTAACTATTCTTTCTGCAAAGTAAATATTTAAAATATTCTTTATCAAAGACTAAAGTATTAGAACCATTTTGAGATATGTGCTTGGAGTATTTATGAAGAGCTTTAACAGTAGTGCTAAATAGAGGATTTCAGGCTGCTGGAAAAGAACATTTAACTCAACAAACTGTTCTTAAGTTCTGTGGTTAGAACATCCATAACATTATTGAAAAATAAATCTTTTCCAGGGAATGGGAGTGAACATCAGGAAAATTAGAGAATTAATTTATCATAAAGCAGTAATAACCTAGAATTTAAAGTTCCTCGCGATTTGCTTGAAGATCCTGAAATACCAGGCTGTGAAACAGTGACTCAATTGTTTCACATTCAGTTTTGTCTGCAGCTGAGTTTCTCATCTTGGAACGTCATCAGCCTTTGTGCTTGGATCCCAGCATAATGAATCCATATGTTCTTTAGATTTTCCTCAGAGCTACAGTATACCCAGACTGTTTATTTGGGGTTTTAAAATTATTATTTATTTATTGAAGGCAAGACTTTGTGGAATAAGGCCAATACCCCTGGCCTCATAACCAACAGTCCAAAGATACTTCCATATAAATAGAGGATTCTCAAGGCTTAATGGCATTCTCTTGTTTAGTGAGGGAAGCACTGATTATGACTTGATATCAGCAGCCCAGAGCACTAAATTTAAAACTAGCAAAATTTTAATTTTTAACGAGTCCAGAGAATTAAAAAGCTAATACTTTTGCCATCATCTATGAATTTTAATTTTAAAACATTTTCTTTCCTCATTCTGCTGTATTGTTTTTCTCTAGCTGGAGATGCTGGTAAAAGATCCATAATGCAAGGTTCTACTGAAACAACTGCTCCCCCCACACCATTGAGAAATGGACCCCAAAATCCATCAGCTCTCCTTTCTACTAGTTGGGACTACACAGGCTTCCTGAAATTCTGCAATACAAATGTAGAATACATATTACATATCGCAATGAAAGTGGTGACATTTAATATATTTTATTATGGCTATCCTGCGACAATTAGGAACTTTTTCATATTTGAAATTGCACTTCTAATTTTTTTCAATTAGTATAAAATCTTGTTGGATGATCTAGAGCTATTGCTAAGTGACCTTTATGTGTACTCTAGGACTCGTATTCCAACTGCATTTAAATCAAGGATGTCATTTTAAGGTTTCCATGGTAGCATTCTGACAAAAGCATCCATAAATCCAGCAGCAGAACTGCATAAAGCCTGCCTATGTTACTGTAAAAACATCTCCAAGAGTTACAGTATGGTTTTCAAGAATCACAAAGAAAATAACACTTTGGAAAAAAATGGTAATTTGTCAAGCTACAGAGACCTAGTTTCACTGTGTTTAAACAGACTTTTTCCACTTGCAAAGGGAGGAAGAAAATGAGCAAGCAGAAAGGAATGGGGAAGGTCCAGTTGTACATTCAAACAGTGCTGCTTTTCTTCTTATGATGCACAAAGCAAGAATTGACACTTTTCTTTTTTTTACTGATTCTTCTAATAAAAATTAATTTGCATAAAATTTTTGTCTTGGTTGTGCAAAGCATTATGGACACCTACGCTACAGAGTTAATTTCCAAAAATAAACGTCAAAAAGTATTTTTCATTTCATTTTTCAGAAAATAAAAGGCTGTGAGAAATTTTCTTACTACATGAAATACAATTCAACAAATAGAAAGATATTGCCAAATTATAGATATTACAGGCTCCCTATCAATAGGGATGTTAAAATTTTGGCTCATTCAGCATTTGTGGCCCTTTTAATCTGCACGTAGACATAACTTTCAAGTCTTCACCTATTCACACTACCACTTGTAATGAACTTGCAATGAATAGTAAGGATTTGAGTAAATTCTGTATTTTACTTTCCGTCCTACCACAGTTTCTTTTGCAGCTTTGAGCAAGTCAGTTACCTTTGCCTCCACTTCAATAAAATGAAGAAAGAGCCTATTTTTTGCTGCTGAGGAACAATTATTGTTTCTACACGAGATGCATACACAGATTTTTAGCAAAGGCTCTGTAATCTTTGCTTAGAAATTGTATTTTTGCAATTGTTTAGAATTCATAATTAATTTCATGTAATCAGGTGAGCTTTGTAAACATTACCACACTAAAAGCCAGACCACTAAAGAGCACTCATTTAAAGCTAGAAATATTTAACTGGGCTATTCATTACATTCACTCTAACAAAAGATTTTTCCCACATGTTGTTTTCTCCATTAAATTATCAAACTGGTGTACTTTCACTTACAAAGATGTGGTAATGTTTGCAGCTGGAGTTGCCTCATAAGTCTCTCTAGCTACAGCTGCACCAACAGTTAAGCAAACTGCCTTGAAAAAGACTGTATGTTGAAAAAGAAATTAGTTTGCTAATACTTCACTTCAAATATAGCTCTGCATAATTTGGAGCATATTTCAGTGGGTAAGATAGTCATTCCAGTGTTTAAGTCTGTAGGGCATCTTTAGGTAAGGAAAGCGTAATAACAAGAATAAACAGATAGCTTGGAAATCAAATTGTCTCATACTCATTATTTGTTCACAAATATTTGAGTTTACTTATATTGCAGTGTTTCTAGAGTATTAATAGCCAAACACATTTTATCAGGAAACTGCAAAGAAATTATAATTGGCACCCAGGCTTTTATACACTTCTGTTTACTTTTAACAAAATAAAGGCTAACAATAAACAGGGATAGATGCTTGGTTCACGTTCTCATTAAAAAAAAAAAAAAGGTGATGATGTATTTCATAATTTTTTTTTTTTAAACTGTGACAGTGCCCAGAAGATATAAATGATAAGAGATTACACTGTGGAGAGCCACTTTCCACACTTTTTTGGCTAAATTTTGGCACCTCTATCTGGCCCTCTCCCCTTTGCACCCATTGCTTCCCTTTTCGATATACAACTGAATCATTTTTTTAAAGAATCATAAAAAGGCTGAAGGATCCCTTGAAGGTTACCTGGTCCAATTCCTCGCTCATAGCAGTGCTAACAGACATCATGCTGCTCAGTCACAGAATGGCTGAGGTTGGAAGGGACCTCTTGAGATTTTCTAGTGTAAACCCCCTGTTCAAGCAGGGTCAGCTACAGCTAGTTGCCCAGGACTGTGTCCAGCTGGGTTTTGAGTATTTTCAAGGATGGAGATCCCATGAACTCCAGTCCAGATGGGTTTTGAGTATTTTCAAGGATGGAGATCCCATGAACTCTCCTGGACACTCTTTTTAATATCTGACCACATTCATGATCAATATTTTTTTTCCTAATAATTAATTCACATTTTCCTTGTTGCAACCCGTGTCCATTGCCTGTTGACCTATCACTAGGCTCATCCAAGAAGGTTCTGGCTTAGATCTCTACACTCTCCCATTAGGTACTTTAAGACAGCAGTAAGAACTCTCTCTAGATGCACTCGACTTCACCTTGTATGCCATGTTCTCCAGTTCACATTCAGAAGACAATAGAAAATTCTCATAATTCAAGCAATATACTACTTTCTAACAAAGGTGGGCTTGGAAGGAGTGACTAAGACTGCCTATCTTCTACTTCCTTATACTTTGCTCACTGTCTGATAAAGGTGGTAAGCTAGACAGTTTTTATTCACGCTACTTTGTCACTTTTTATCTTTTGCTGTACATTTGTCTTCTGATAAAGAATCAGCTAGTGGTTGCCAAGTGGAGTAGGTTGCTATACCTTACTGGAAGGATCACCAGTTTAATCTTCCTATAAATAGTAGGTCATGCCCATCCTCCTCTTTCTTCACAGATGAACAGGAAAGAAGCTTCAAAATATGAGATTGCATGATGAAAAGATTGAGAACCAGAAGAGAAACCAATTTTCTAATGTTTTGACATGTTTAAAACCAATGTGCAGAAAATTACAAGCCTATTTGTAACATATTTGAAATTACAGGTTCAGACTTCAAAATTTCCACTGAAGACTCAGGAACAGACTCCAAACGAATGGAAACAAACAAATAAATATTTGTGTGTGCGTGTGTGTATAAATATATGGATCATATATATTAATACATATGATCATAAAAATTTATGTAGCCACCTCTACAATTACCTCTTTTGTACTGTAGCTTTGTTTATTGATTCTTTTTATTAGAAAAATTTGTATTATTAAATTCAAGCTTAAGTTAGGAGATAAATGAGCATCAACTTGAGACATTTATTCAAGCCACAAAGTCTTGTATACTAACTAGCTCAGAGGAAAGTTTCAAATCATTTAATGTTCTTAGTTGTTTCATTAGATATGTGAAGAATTATACATAGAGGTTATTGTCATTTGTGCAGAATTAGTCTGAATTAATTCGCATAATGAAAATATCCATTCCAAAGACATCGTATTTCCATAAGAGATCCACATATAAATTTTGTATTTCAAGCTTCTGTGTTGACTGGGGAGGAAAACGAAGAAACCCCTTATTAATGAAATTGATTGCTATCAAAAGCAACTGGTGAAACGCAAAAAGAATTAAACATTCATAAAGCATTAAGCACAGAAAAATGGCAAACAGCAAAAATGGAAAAGTAAATGGGTGAAAGTATAGTGAAAGTTAATTTAACAACTACATACTAATTTTATTTTGATATATTTCAGAAATGCATACTTTTTGGCATGTATTTTGCTTTTATCAATAATTGAAAAGCATGGTCAGTTTACACAAAGAACAGTAATACTATTACCTGCTTCAGCAGTTTAACAAAAGAGTTTTGTAAGTAATTTCATTCTCTTGTGTATCTGTGAAGCCTCTGGATCTATACTTCAGCAATAGGTTGACATTACAAAGTGTAGAACTAATATGGCAGCTCCGTTTTGATGGTTTAGTTACTTTTAGTAAAAATAGAAATAATGACATAAGAGAATATAGCTGCCTCTCTCAGAACAGGTTAGGATGTGCTCTTGTAAGACAGAGTCTCCTTAGTATGTGTTCTGTTCCTTCATGGTGAGGCTAGCTTGCATGCTCACAGTGCTGGTGTCTGCCTTAACAAAGCTCTAAATAAGAAAGGTTTGGATGCCCCTAACATTTCTTCCTGAAGAACTAAGACTTTTAAATTAGCAGCAGATTTTAGACAGGTCTGAATGCATCAAATAGAAAACAGTAATAAGTTTGGGAGGTTTATAAACAACCTCTTCTGGTAAACGTTCAATTCAGTAAGTGAGTGTCCTTGGAAATTGGCACTTTTTGTCTAACCATTAAGGAGGTAACTTCGAGGAATCCTGTACAGGAAAATCAGGTAGCTAGAAGAACACAGGAAGTAACTAAAAATACAAGGAAAAGTGAGATGAATGAGAAAGCTGCAGGAAATCCAATCTAAAAAGAGTAGGCCAGAAACCTATTTTGAAAACCACATTATTATACAGGGAAGAAGGGGTTGTCTCACACCTATTTAAATCCTGAGAGAGGATAAATTGGCAAAGGGTTCATAACTTTAGAGAAACAGATTTAAAAGGAGAACTGTGGGTAGCGTTAAAGAAATGCATGGTTCTGGCCCGAAAGTGACAATGCCTTCTTAAAGAGTAGCTGTATTCAAAATAATAATCTTCACTACAGAGGAAAAACAAAAAAAAAATTATTTACTAAGTCAATAAAATAGTAAGGTCCAATAAAAATAACAGTAGGAGAAGCAGAAAAAGCAGAAGGTAGCCCATTGTGAATGGAACATTAAACAGGGAAGCATCCTGTGGGGTGCTCCCTGAAGAATGGTGCACACCACCATTTCAGTCTTGGCCCAGCCCTCTGCTCTTTTAAAAAGAAAAGGGAAACACATACCAAAGCTCTCTCCTTCCATTCCGATAGGCCCCGGCTGAGGAGTCTCTCCATTCTTCAAGCAGTTATGAATGTATGCTGCCTTCCACCTGGCGTACTTCCTGTGCTGGGCGTTCTGGGGAAGCCAAAAGGCCAGCCATTTTAACCACTCACTTCTGAGAATTAATGCATTCAAAATAGAGAAATACAAGCAGGTTTTCCACCCTGACACGAGATTATAAAACTAAACGGTTTTCTCTACTATGATTTGACACCCCTTTAAAGAAAAACAACATATGTGAAATTAATCAGTGAATTAAAAAAAATATTAAAAGAACAGCTCTAACTGGATCTCAGCATGAAAGGAAAATGTGGAGATCTTCAATTAGTGAAGCACATCAGGAAAAGGAAATAAACTATACCAGGACCATCTAAGGTGAAAGACAGAGCAAAGTGTAGTAATTACTGACATGAACTAATAAAGAAAACTTCCTGTCTCCATAAACTTAAGATGATTATTTACCTTAGATTTAAGCATCTGAAACTTAAAATGCTACTCCTGCTGATCCATAATATAAAATCTTTTCTAATTACATTATTTTACATTTTAAAAATGTATTTAAAAGCATGAATACAGAAAGGCTGCTGTAGTTGCAGATTAATGTGGTGGGTGGGGGATATTCTAGGACATAAAGTATTTCGATTTAGTATCTTTACAACATAGCTAAAAATCAGATGGACTTTAGCAATACATAAATTACCTGTAGAGCAAGGGGTTACGATAACAACAACTTTAAACTGTTAATCACAAGTTTAATAGTTCAGTTACTAGAAAAAATATGAGTACTTCTCAAAAAATTACTATATTGACAGTCAATACTATTTTTTGCCAACTCTCATCTTCTGAAATGGTGTCAATATGAAGCAACGGCAGTGAGAAGCCAATCTGCTACTTGCCTTTCTGATTCCATTTGCAAAGTAACAGTTTGAAATTGAAAAAATGTAATAGTAGCTTCAGTATTTTAAAAAAAACAACAACATGATTTTCCAGTATTTTCAGATTCTGGGAAAAAGGAATCGAGGAAAAGCATTTTATTTGGGTTTTCATAGACTCCTCTTTTCACAAAACATGAGTGACTGAAATAAATGACAGAATCTCAACTATTTTGAGATTTTTCCGTTTCATTTTTAAAAATATACTTTGCTGTTCTTAGGTGCAACTTTAGTATGTCAAAACATGAAATGAGTATAGGCCACTTCTTATCTTCTGGGATTTTTACAAGAAATCTTAAACTGATTATGCAAATCAACTACTTTGCCAAAAGTTTTAAGAGAAATAACCAGTTCTGAAAGTTATGAGGTAATATACTTCAAAGAACAAGGCTGAATATAAACAGACATGAGACATGTGGACGGACGAGTGGAATAATTTGGCCAAGTGAACAATGCAGGTTGATAGCTTGTTTCACATCATCATCATCATCACCTGCAAGAAACTGGTGAGCTCAGATGTCCACAGTAACAATCACAGGTAAAGTGGTTTGGAAACTGAGGTAGACAGAATAATCTCTCTTTAAAAGTCCTGACTGAATTACATCCATAGTTTTTGAGAATTAATAAACTGAAATTCAAAATTGTACTTCACAAAGTCTATTTCACTGTCATCTTGAACAGGGTAGAAAGTGACAGTATAATGGATATCTCCAGCAAGCTCCCTTGCTCATGTTTAATACATTGGTATCCACCAGGGTGCTCACACAGCCCAGGAGAAAGATATAGTCCTCATTTTCACAAATAAAATGTTCTCCAGAAAAAAGCCTATCCTGATGACAGATTTATTAAAATGCATTCACTATTCCTCAGAAATGAAAAATACAATTGGAAAACATGGCTTTCTGTTAAATACTTCCTTTTAAAACTCTTTCTTGGCCAGGTAGCATTACAGATGAAATTCTTTTATCATTCACAAATACACTAGAAGCCACAAAATGAAGAAATACACACCCACAGTATGGTGCTTTTAGAAGAGAACATTACGCAAGATTTAACAGCTTGTACATCTCCCCTCTGTTCTAATACCACAATTATTTCTTGGTAAAGTATGAAGATGCTGTTGTATCGGGTGTCTGTACCCAGGTGCTGGCAACAAGGGGGTGGCAGGCGAGGCGTGGCATCTGTGAGGAGAGGCCAGGGCAGCCCTCTGCCAGACACAGCCAGCTCCAGCAGACCCAGCGCAGGACACCGCTGAGCCCCTCAGCCAGGCTGGTGGCACCTCTGGGAAAGCGTATTTAAGAATGAGCCAAAAAAGCACCCACCAAAACGCTGGACAGAGAGAGGAGAAGGGAACAAAGAGTGTTTGATGTGTGTCAGTCTGTATCGCAAGGGCAAAGCTTATCATTCCAGAACTAAGAACCTACATTTTGTCGCTTTTAGTTTGTTTTTAATATGCACTGCTGTCCCTTTTCGGAAGGCTGCCCTCCTGTATGAACGTTACTAACAGATAAATGAAGATAACACTACTATCACACAGCTTCTTGCTGATCTGACATAAGCTGTGCCTTCTAAAACACATCTTGCAGAAAATCCTTTTGCCTAGTTCTAATTTTCTGATACGGAACACCCACTGTTTCCTGTGCAATCCACTTGCCAATTAAAAATATATATATTATTTACAGTACCCATTCTCTGATTTCAGGTGTCAAGTATCTGCCTTCTATGCCTTCTGCTGTTGATTTAAAAGCCTTTTAATAGTTGATATTCCACACATACGAAGACAATTACATACTGAAAAGACACACAGATTGTCTGAATAATAAGAATGGATAGAAAAGTTAGATGACTTGATATATAACCAGGTGTCAGACTGAGCTTACTTCAGGCTAACAAAAGCTCTGCAAAAGTCTAAGGCAGTCACATTGTCATACTTGTCCCATCATTCCTTCATGTGATACTGGATAAGGAAAATGTTGAAATGTAATGATCCTAGCGAGAAGTGCAAATCTTTTACTGTATTTCTTGCACACTCTCTTTTAACAAAGTCTTCACTGATTAATCAATCAAAATGAGATAACTCTGCTTCTTTCCAATTACAAAGCACTTCTGTCCTTTCAGCATCAACAAAAAAACCTCACATTCAGTAGTAAACACATCACTGCTAGCATTCACATTGACATTTAAAACCATTTTTTCCATCTACAGGAAGGATTGCTTCAGGACCTCTGAGTCGTCACCAAATCAGTGCACTGTCCCATGCACTGGATTCCTACCATCTAAGATGATCATCCTTTTCAGTCCAATTCAACATGCATTCACTCTCTGGCTCTAGGGACCATTATTATTTGGTATCGTAAAGGATGTCAGGGTGCATAGCAGCCAGTTTTAAGAGAACACATGAAAGAGCAATCTTACTTGCACCTCTTGACAGATGAAAATTGTGGACTGGTATAGTCTCAGTCTCTGGAAGATGTGGAATCTTGCAAGAACACTTGGCCAAGTGTTCTTCTTGGGCAAGACCTGTCTTTAATAGGTACACTTACGTTCCCATATGTCATAGTATACAAGAAGTACACCACTATCAAAACCATTCTTTTACCTTCCTTCCAGTATTTACAAATGAAAGTAGCCACGGCAACTGCATTTTAAACTGAACAAATATGCCTACATGTTAGGCACGTGTATCAGATTGGCAATTTACATACAGGATGTCAAGTCTGTGAATTCCAAGCAGGGCATGGAATAGTTTGGGACCAACACGACCACGGGCTTCTTATGGGCCTTGCAAAGCAGCAGAACTTTTGGTTTCTAAGGCACTTTTACTAGTGTAAGCGTGGAAGCCTATAACACTCAAGCACGTGAGAAAAAAAATATTTGTAGATTACCTGAGTGGATTTAGGTATCCTGAGACATATTCAGCACTTACATGATCAGCACTTGCTGATTTTGTCTCAGATTGTCTAGCATCGTTGCTGTTACTTACTTATTTTTTCAGGTATTTCAAAGATTTAACAATGTTTGAAACTCATCTTCATGAGTCAGTAGCAGCTTTCTCTAATTTTTTTTCCTTTGCTGCAAGTTTTTAACTATACCATGGCATTCTCAAAATGAGCTTCTCATTCAGTTAATTTAGCAAGAAAACCTCACTTTTAATTTTCAGAACAAGTATTAAGAGTACCTGCTCCTCTATATCTGAGATTAATTCTTCCGTGGGGCATGAATAACAGAGAGCAGCTAACTATGCACCTAATCGAAAAGTTTGTTTTAAAACAGACCAAGAGATTATTCTGGTGTGCCTTAATAAAAGTAGTCATGATCTTGTTCAGTCAATTCTGGAATGCTTGTTTGATTAAAAAACTTACCTGCCATTAAGAGGACCGTGTTAGTTACTTTAGTAGATAACATTTTAAATGAAAACATTCATGTCCTAATGTCCAGCTAGCAAGCCATTTTTTATGAAGTAAATTCATATTCTTCCAACTTAAGATATCACCATTTAAAAGTAGGGTTTATTGCAAAACCAAAAACATCTGTTCTAACTAAAACTGTACACAATTCCACCTCAGTTACTAGCACTAAATTTCTTGCTTGCAGGGTGAAAAAAGTGTCAGTGGAAAAAGGCTGGAATCTTGCATCATTTTTCCCTATAATCATTCCTACTTGCTCAATGTAATGTTATGTGTCCCACAGTAATAATCAGACTTTGCATTTCAAACTGATACTTAAGTCATGAAGCATCATCTAACAGATAACAGTTATCTAATATTTCACATATAATTTATTTGAAATACTTAGCACAATTCCTTATGACTTAGTAACACGAGTTTGACTACACAATTAGAACCTATGTTCTTTGAAGTTCATATTCACAAATTAAAACAGTAATTTGCACCTGTGCTAGGAAAAGCAATCAGATAATACGCTGATATCCCTAACACTTACCTCTTCAGATAGCTCCCCAAATACTGTTAGAACGTCTATCAGGAGACTTGCAGTATAAAAGGACTTTATCATGTTTCTGGAAAAAAGAAAACATTTCACTAACTTTGTAATGTCAGTCTCTCAGGACCACATTTCAGAAGTTGGCATTTTAGACCATACTGGCTTATTTCAAGCCAATCATCACTATTTTTTTTCTTTTTATCTTGTACTACACAACTTACTTCACAATGTTTAAATTTAGCAATATATTAGCTAGTCTCCTGACTACTATGCAGAAAGTTTTCAGTATTTTTTTTAAAGCTGGTCAGCTGTTCTGCACTTAGTTTCTAGGTTGGAATGTTCAATATATCAACATGCTGTAGTAATTACTGTAAATCAAACCACATAATGTATCATCACAACTATTTTATTATCATTGAACAGTAAAAACTGCAACATGCTCGATGTCAAGGTCAGTATTAGCTCGGGGTTTTAGAAGGCTTGCCAGTAGGTGAGCAACCTCTTAGAGAACACAAGAAGGAGGATACCAGTTAATGTCTGATGTTAGAGACATACAAGTAGTAATAAATCAAGTTTTCTGAAAGAGAAATTAACATATTAAAGCACAATTCTTGTTTCCAGTCACATTAAAGAGTTAGGATATTCAGATTTCCTGACCAGTATCTTAATTCAGATAACAAAATCAAAGACTGTCACCTACTTATGAAATTGCCCAGCTCTATCTTCATTGTCTGCATACAAAAACATTTTCAAAGCATAATTCTCCACATGAGCAGAACCAACAATTTCCTGAGTAATTGCTTCATTATCACCAAATTGCTTTTTCATCTGAAAAAAGTTGAAAAAAATACATTCATTACCTTATTAGACCCTAGCAATTCTGCAATCTAATTCAAACACAAGAACAAGCTGCTGATTTAGACAAAGCCAAGTAAAATTTAAAAAAGAAAAAACACACATTTTAATTATTTTACAAATCTCCAGCTTCTAACATAACAAGCACTAGATGTAGCATGCTAAAGAGAAAGCGCCTTCTTTTGGAGGGATAAATATTATGAATAATTAGCTCTGAGTATCATCTTCAATAACAAAATACTCCCAAAAAAATCCTGAAACAACCAATCAACAAAAAAGTTAAAAATAAACACAAGTACAATATTGGGAAGGAATAGCTACAGATATTTTTCCCCTTACTGTCAGAAGGACCAAGTACTCTGAAGCCTATGTCAGGATTCAACAGTTCAATTGATAAAGTAATGCATGTTTTATAAAGGTAAGAGTGATCATGTGTCTTCTCTGTTGTAAGGTTATTTCACTGCAGTTCATTACATCTTTCAAAGTGTCTGAGCCCTATCTTGACTTGTCTAGTAACCTATGGATTTACTGGAATTTTCAGTGTAAGCAGTGTACTGCAATTCAAAGACCTCTTTTCAAAGACGTTAGCGTACAAGAATCCTCAGGTTTCCTAATAAAAATCAGTAAAGCAAATAACTCTCTAACAGTTACAACAGGTGGATTTACAGCTTCTGAATAGGCTACTGTTTGCACATCAGGAAATCTCAGGTTATCCTTAGAGAACAAAAACAGGAACACCACATGATACTAACCTGCAGCTTTTACTTTGCCAAAAGATTTAAAAACAATCTCTGAATGGCAGTTATTTTTCACTGTGCGTGTGAAGAAAATTTAATCATGCAGGCTGCATTTCCATATTTTTTAGACTGCTGCCAACTTTTTAATACATAGAATGTTGCCAGAAAAGTTACTTGATTTCAGTAATGAATAATATGAATATAAACATAAACTTTCCAAACAGAACTTTAAATTTGAAGACTTTTGTTGAACTCATACTTTAGATAGATTTCAAAAAGTACTTGTGTTCTACAAAGTGTAATCATTTTTCTTGTGAGAGTACCACAATTTGTATTGTTTTGGTACCACAACAGCAGTTGCAAGATATGTAACTGAAAAGAAACACTGAAGTTAATTTAGGAAGGAAATTATTTGGTTTTTTATATATATATATTTCACCAGCCTACATATATACACCTTAGACTCAGAAAATAACATTACTACACTTGATCTGATGTTCAATGGAGGTGATTCCAAATGTACAAATGACACTCAGCTACATACGCTTCTAAAAATATTAAAGTTAACCAAGTTGTTTACTTCTGAAATTACGCTTCACACAGTCTGTGATTCAGTATAGCAGTACTGATGTTTTAAATGATGATTCATAATTTGAACCTAAAATCAAGCAACTTTGGTTTAATTTTACAAAAAGCATTTAAATGAAACACCTATTGGAAAAGCAAAATAACACAAGCATATGTAAAAATATTTCTAACACAAACATGCATTTTGGATACAGAACTGTATTTAGTTAATTCACATATTTGGAATATTATGAAGTTGCTTGCAAAGAACCCGTGGTAATTTCCAGATATATCCACACTGCTTTATTCTTTGCTACTATACAGTTCAAGAACATTTGTAAGCTTCTGTCTTAACCTCTGAAATAATCAACTGTGGCAACACACAGAAAGCTGTGAGAAACATTTAGCTGCAGCACCCCTTCGTGCCTCCTGCTGGTTAAGGGCAGACTGGAAATGGCTGCTACTGAAATGCCACAGAGGTCCAGCTTGTCAGTATACCCAAGCTTCCTAGCCCCAAAAATGGTGTATTAGATCCGCTTAGAAGTGCTCTCTCCATCCTTCCACCACATGGCTACACAGAAGGAACTTCAATACCTGAGCATCGGCTCTCACACAGACAATCTTACTAGAAGCTGAAAGACGCTGGTTTTCTAGTGTTTCCAAATGTGAAACAAAAGGGAACAAAGAGGAAAATCTTTGAGTTTTAACCTCATCTTTCCTGCCACCTCTCTTACCTTTTAAGCATGAAAATCAGACCCATTAAAGATGTTAAAATTTGATGAAATAACACATCAAGAAGTCACTGTACAGTGGATTTTCCATTGCCAAAAAAATCAGGGTCAAAATATAGCAGAAGAACAAGGTATGAATGAAGGACAGATGGTTCGTGTTTCGTTTTTTTTCCTGAAGAATTGAAGGCTGTTGCACTAGTTTCATACAAACTCTTCAGGCATAGCTATGGCTAGATTTTGGATGGAATCATTAATAGTGAACACAAAAAGAACCGCTGTTTAATTTTTCAACATTACTTTCTGCTTCCACACACTACTTCAAGACTATTGAAAACTACAGCACACAAACATGAATGAGTGTCCAGAGAAGGGCAATGAAGCTGGTGAGGGGTCTGGAGCACAAGTCTTATGAGGAGCGGCTGAGGGAACTGAGGTTGTTCAGTCTGGAGAAGAGGAGGCTGAGGGGAGACCTCATCGCTCTCTACAACTACCTGAAAGGGGGTTGTGGTGAGGTGGGTGTTGGTCTCTTCTCCCAAGTAACTAGCGACAGAACTAGAGGAAATGGTCTCCAGTTGTGGCAAGGGAGGTTTAGACTAGATACTAGGAAAAATTTCTTTACTGAGAGAGTGGTCAAACATTAGAACAGGCTGCCCAGGGAAGTGGTGGAGTCACCATCACGGGAAGTGTTCAAAAAACATGTAGATGTAGCACTTCAGGACATGGTTTACTGGGCATGGTGGTGTTGGGTTGATGGTTGGACTTGATGATCTTAAAGGTCTTTTCCAACCTTAATGATTCTGTGAATAACTCCTAGAACTTAAACTTACCATCTATACAATGACTTTACCTTTCTTTGTTTAACTTTGTTTAATAAGAGTGGGCTTACAAAAATTCATAGCGTAAAATGCCCAATCTCCAACAGAGGATACAATCAAAAGTATCTTTATCTTTCCAAGAATGTTTTAAAAAACTCTCTGGGTACAACAGTTTAGGTAAAAAATTCCAAAAGCACCAAGGACTAGGCTAAACAATCCTATAGCAATGAAAATAACTCTTACAAACTTCAAGGAATCAAAGACAAATCAATAAAGTCTTCTAGAACACCTGCATTTATTTTGTAATGAATTATGACTTGACATAAGAATATGAATTACAATACTTTATTCATACATGTTGTCTAGACAAAACCTTACGGCAAGTGTCTGCTGTATGAAATTTCACTTATGTTTGTGCATGCATGCATACACATAAACATACACACACATAAAGCTTTACCTCCTTTCAATCCTTCTGCCAATCTATTACATACAACTTAAATTCATACAATATGCCTGCATACAGCATAGCTGCACCAATGACTGATGACAGAGAAAAGAGAGTATTTGCAGAAGCTTAAATAAAAATTAAAGTAACATCATGAATCATTTTAGAGAAGAGCAATGAATTCTACTTACAGCTTCCAATTGATCCATAAGTTTGGATAAAAATTTACGGCATTCTGGGGTTTTACTATCAATCTTCATTCCTGTTTGCATTGCATATAAACGACCTTTAAAGGAGACAAAACACACACAAAAAAATCAGATGTGATTATCTAAGGCAAACCCCATAGGCAAACAAAGCCATGCCCCCCCATCTGAAAGACAAACTCATCTTGTGGTTTACCAATGTACTGCTACAGTACTAGTGAGCAATGACAGCAAAATCTAGACATGGTCAGTTTTGCAGAGATAGTAGGAGATACTTTTCTAAGAATTATGCTTTATTTTTCTCAGTGAGTATTTCTGCTGATTTCAGATTGATGGTTGTTAATTGTATGATGCAATATTAAGTGCTTTTGTAAAGAATCACAACCCTTATTTGCGAGTCTCTCAAATAAGAACTTCAAGTTGATTTTTATCCCTAATTATACATGAATAATTTTCATATTACTTACATAGATGTAGAGAGTGTATGGATATGTCTCAAAAATGGAACTTCATGTAGCAGGAACTAGCTAGCTTTAAAACTCCACTTTAACAAATGGAATTAGGCATCTATTATATCCATGTATATGCATACATATTAACAAAAGACACGGGACGGGACACAAGCCTGATCTTTAAATCAGACAAGACAGACTTTATTAAACTTTCCCATTGCCAGTTTTTCATATGATCTTGAAAATGAATGATCAATATAATCTGATTTAAAATTACCTTTTTACTACCAAAAATCTATGAATTCTAGATATGCACATGGCAGAACTTTATATATTTCAGGAAACTGTGGGTAAAACAAAACAGCTATTATTTACTAGGATTAACATACACAGAGAAGGGAAAATGGACAGAAACATTCAGTAACCAAATGCAAAACTTTTTTTCACAAAAGAAACCATTCCACTAACTCTCACTCCAGACCCTCAACAAGGGAGTCCTACAAAACACTTTCAAATGCATAGCTTAAGAACTAAAAGCTGTAACTCCAAATATTGCCGTGAGCTAGTTATTATGGCATACCTCAATGTCCTTCCTGCAGGACACATAGTTCTGCAAAGCGATCCTTACTTGCTTCACAGCTTTATCTCTCTCCTTCCAAGCATCTCTTTATACACTAGAGATGGCCTTTTCCCTTCAAATTATCTCAGTAAACACAAATACAACACAGTTGTTTTCAATCTGCATGTACCCCAATGTTTGCTGCAAAAGAAAGTATTATATGCTCAAAAGCTTGCCTGCCTTTTCCATCTATTATCAGTTTGTCTAATAAAATTAATCACTCTCTACAAAATTCACCTAGGTTCTGCTAGTAAGCATCATAATTTAATTCATTTTTCTGGATTTTAAAAGTAGAATTTCACACTTTAAATACAACTGATTATTCAAAACGCAAAAGTGTACATTCCTTATTTGGGACTGCAAAGATGAAAAATTTTTGAATGCTCATAGAATCATAGAATCTTTGGGTTGAAA